ATATTGACATACAAATTGCTGGTTAACTAGGCAATTTTTTCCCTTTATGAAATCAATTGTTAAAATAGACACTTGCATACTAAATTTACTTTTAATGGACCAGAACTATGTTATACGAGGAAGAAACTGCTTCCAATACATCCACCCCTCTTCCAAAGAATTCAGGGGGAAAAAAAATGCAGCATTCACCGGTAATCAATCTCCCTTCCAATAAAATAATACTGCTGCGAGTGCAAGGCCTCTTGGAAAGGCTCTGAGCCAACATGCTGTTACCAAGGATAGCTACAAGGAATGTGATAGCAAGTATATGCTGAATATTTTACTAAAACAAGTGTCAGTGCTATATAAATTTAGAAATGCAAAGAGATAGCTATAGCTCAACTTTGAACTTCATGTGAATTGGTGATCCCAAACTACAGCAGTAATTATTCAGCACTATCAGCCTGCAAGGAGCAGCAGTTACAAAGCTGAATCTGTATTTTGTTGTTTTGCAACAATGCCAACTTATTGGTCAGTATCATTCCCTGTAGAAAATTAGTTACTGTACTGATAATACAGAGCTTGAGGGTAGACTTCTAATCTATTCTACAATATAAATCTTCTACTGGATCAGTTAAGGTGTGCTAAGAGCATCCTTTTCTTTGAAGCTGGTCCATCAAATACACCATCTCTGAAAGTGCCTTGCCTTTACATACCATAGGAAATACTAATTGCAAGTACAGTAAGCTACTTCTGGGGCATGGTCTGCACTTACAGGATACATTGTATCCTGTAAGCTGAAAACAACTGAAGAAAATTGATTCAAATATAAAATTGAATGAGAAGATGCACAAAATAATGGATGTTCTAATATAGACTGGTAAGAAAACACTAAAATAAAATAAAAAAACTAAACAAACAAAACATAGGCCTCAGTGCTTGTTAGATTCCAAATTCAGATTTACTCCACCTAAACTCTCTGTTCCCAGTAGAGGTTGCTGAAATGAAGTTCCCTTCAAGCAATCTTATGCAAGTTCACAGAAGCAATCCAGCCCCGCATTGATCAGCGACTGCATAATCTCATTTAAAATGCCCCAAAATGCTGAGAGTTCTTGCTGGTTGTTCATTCTCAAGATGATGGAAAATTGCAAGTACCCTTGCAATCAAATAAAATAGGAAATTTGCTACCCAAAAGCACAGGTGTCCTTGAAGATGTGGCACCATGAAATACCCTTGGTGCAAATGAACACAACTGGTGGTATCCCACCTACTTCAAGGACATGATGCAATATACTGTGATTTCACTGCCCTGCTGTTTATCATAACAGCACACAGCCTTTTCAGATGCAAATTACACACAAATCACTTCAGTAATTGCAATGTAAAAAGCACTTAAGCCACTCCTGAATTAGCTAGCTCAAGTCCAAACACCACACATCCACACAGTTCAGCAAAGCCTACAAATCCCAGTGCTGTGGTTCATTTAACCTGAACTTCACAATGCCATATCTGAAGCACTACAAATACCAATACAGGCTACATAGACTATACGTACTATACTTGGCTACTGCTACACTATAATATTCCTATTAAAGACAGTTAGTTTAATTGAACTAATACATGTCTCTTCCAGATTGCTCTTAGACTGATGAAGGCAATCTAAAACTAGTTGCTCATCTGTGACACAAGCAAATAGTATTTTATTTTACAAAATGATAAATTAAATCACGGTGAAATTAAGTGACTTCCCACATTCACACAACAAATGACAGAGCAATAAATTGGACATCTAAACACTGACTTTCAAGCCATTAGTTAACATATATTAGTTAACAATACACATCCTCATAGCATAGTAGGCCTGTAGCATGAGGATTAAACTGTCCTAACTATCCCATGAACCTTTCACTGCTGATGCCAGATCCTATGAGCACAATGAAGAAGATGAAATATTGTTCTTTACCATCGGGATAATGTTTATAGTGTGTAACTGAAGATTCCTGCAAAAGTGCAGCACTAATTCCTGCTCACTGCCTCATGGTGCTCACCACCCCTGTGCAGGCAAAGGGGCAAACCTGTGCTGCTGAGTCTAGGAATACACTGCTGCTTCCAGCACGACAATGCAGAGCTCCTGGGATGTCAGTGTCAGAACCTTATTGCTCACTGAAATTTTAATCTTCTTCTCTTTCCTTCTTTCCACATTCTTTGCCACCCGCTGCAGAGATGTTAAAAAATAGTATGAGATCTGATGCAACATAAGTGGGTAGCAGCAGTCTCTCTTGACTCCACAATCGTTCTAGAGCTTGACAACCAACAAGAAAAACACAAATTAGCTCCTCTTTCTTGCTCCTCTTCATAGATAGAGCACAACAACAGAAATTATCTCATTCCTCAGTCACCACAATATGTTGGAAACACTAACTGAAATCATGGAAATGCCTTTTCATGGTAAAACTTATAGAAATTACAAAAACACTGTGGATACACTAACACTAATATCATCCTGTATAAACCTTAAATGCCACTATATTATTGAGGGAAAGTTGCAATCAAACCATTTAGAACTCTCCATAATACATCTATTATTATCTTTTAAAAGATATAAAGATACGGCAATGTTTTCAAAGTGCTCTAGCCACCTCTAAACCCCTATAAATGCACCACCACCAAAATGCAAGTATTGCTCTCACAGTCACTAGACAGAAAGCTAAAAGATGAAGAATGGAGGCAGAAATTGCAGGAAATAAAAAATAGATTTGGATTTGTAGGAACATAATAATTCAGTTCAGAATACCAAGATGTGCAACTATATATAAGTGCTCAAAGATGCAAAGAGGAAATTTTGTAGCTTGAGGAAGACAGATGTGTAACTCCACAGGAACAAAGTGACTGACCAGATGCTTCTGAAAAAAACCACCATCACCACCTACACTTTCTGAAATGTGCTTGGCCAGCACAGCTCTGGTCAGCTTGTCTCATGCAGACCAAGCTACAAATGAACAGGGTTAAATGTACTATTACACCTTCAGTAATAGCACAGGGCCACCATGCTGCTTGGTAACTTCACAAGGCAGAGTGCTATCCTACACCGCACTGGGGACAGCAGTTCAAAGTCTGAATTGAAGAAGCACTCTTCCAAATCACCAACATAATTTTCTTATTCTACCCAGGTTTTCTTTGTAATTATAATGCCATGGTGTGAATTGACATAAATAATAATGCAGCCACGAAGATGTTGAAAAGAGTGTCAGGAGGAAACAGTAGCACTTCAGTTCTGACAATTAAGTGCATATTTGTTACCTGAAATAGCCCAGGGCTGCTCAGTGAAGTGGACCTGTTTGTTCCTACAATATCTCCTCCAGAGAGCCAAGGTGTGCTTCCAGAAACTGAAGCTCCAGGTAATGAGCACAAACTATACAATAACCCATCATAAGGGCAGAACTGTACTCTTGTAACATTGGGCATGGGAAGAGCAGTTTGCCCTTGTTCTGCTGCCACTGTACAACTGGAGTGCTTGATTTACATATCAAAGTTCCTGCCTTAATTACCCCAAAGCCAAAGCCCCTGAGTTAATTACCCCTCGTTCTTGAAAACTGAAGACTCATATCATTATCAAGGAAACAAAAAAATCATCACCCCACAACACCCTTGTATTTCTGTTAGGAAGCCTGAGCCACGGCACCGCAAGATCCCGAAGTTTCACCACAGACTAACACAGCATCCCAACGCACCATGTAAAACAACACACTGCAGCTATTTTCTCTTCCTGCTACTCCACATATATTAGCTTCTTCTCTTCCCTGCCATCTGTTAGTTTGCTGCAGTCTGCTGGGACAGGACTGCCCTCTCCTTTTCTCCCCTTCTTGCCTGCTCGAATGGACGACAACAAAGCCAGGCATTTCCTGTCCATACATTCAGCTTTCCTCAGCTGCCTCAGAGGCATTACCAAATGCAGTTACTGCCATGAATGAAATGTGCTCTGCTCACCTCTGCTGTACCAGTGTGCTCACCAGAATTACATTCTAGACACTGAAACACCTTGCAAGTGGTAGGCAAGGAGGTAACTGCTGCTTTAAGAGGACACACCTTTTCGTCTTACTCCTGGGCATCACTGCTTAAAACAAGTATCTGTACTACCTGCACCACAGGAACTGTCACAGAGAAACTAAGGTAAGCAGCATTGACAACTACTCTATGCAGTAACCTGCTGCAACTTTTCTCAGAAGGGAAGGCTAGCAAGGAAAAAGAAAAACCAGAAAAATCAGGTGAACAGCAGTATCTTCTTCTACCATAAATTTCAGTGTAAGATGTGTAGCAAGTCACTGTTTTTTCCTTTAATACAGTTCAGAATGGAAAACAGATGGCTATCTAATCCATCACACTTGTAGCCAGTTAGGAAGCAAATTGGAGTGTTTGTCATCAATTGTTCTATCAGTCAGGTCATTAGAAAAAGGAACAGCTCATCTAAAAATAAAGTCAATATTGGCTGAGTCTAAACAGCTTCTTCAGCATTTCACACACATATTCAAGCAATGAACACTATTATTCTGTGCTTGTAACAATATGCCCCTAAGCCAATAACTGCTCTTCAGCATCTGACCTCTTTTTAAAGCAGATTTACAAGGAAGAATAGTGAAAGTGTTCCAAATCAGCTGGTGAGAAAGTATTATAGATCATAACCCCACAGTAAACAATTCCTAGTTCTTCTGATCTGCAAGCTTAGAATAAATCTGGCATTACAAAAAAAAAATAAAAAAGGAAACTTACAATATCAAATATACCTCTATTCAAAAATAAAAATAAATCCCACACTAACAGCTCACAGAGCACTTCCTCCAGAAACAAAGAGGAAAAGTAGCTTTCTTTGGGATGAGAAACCAGCAATATCTGCTGCAACATGCCAACACAAAGGTAAGTTTTACAGTATGAATTTATTGATCCAAGACAGATTTTCCTGCTTTCCAATCCCTATACACTGCCAGTCAGCAAATATAATTCAATCGAGAGCAAATTATGCATACCTTTGACTTCAGGGAAGCATCACGTAGCACACAGGCTACGACTGGGATGCAGTTCTGCCAAGTCCCTCACAGGTCAGCCGAAGGAAGCCCCGGCTTACCCCGGCCGTCCCAGCGAGGGCAGCGCCGGTGCAGGCGGGACGCCAAGCCCGGAGCCACAGGCGTAGCCAGCTCCTCGGAGCAGCAGCCCTGGCTGCTATTACGTCTGCAGCGTACGAGCGGCAGCGTGCCGTTATTTATACAAAAATCAGCATCTTCCTCGGGAAAAAAAAAAAAAAAAATCACTTGAAGCTTCTTACTGGCCCTGCAACACACTCCTGTACTCATGCCATCACATCTAGTGACTAAGAAGATGCTTTCAGTGTCACAGGAGATTAAGATTCTGGGAGGAGAGTGCCTGGCAGCTTTACTCTCACACACCAATCTGTCTTCACGCAAACGCACTTTGTCGGCGGATGGAAGTGTATTATTGCAATACGCTACCGAAGCGAAAGAGTTTCCAAGTTTTCCCACAGGGCACCAGCTCCCCCTTCAAGCTGCACCCCAGCGCTTGCTCCCCCTCGTCCTTCCGCGAAAAGACCTGCGTTTTCTGGGCACCACAACCTGTCCTGCGTCCGCACCGAGCTGCGGCTCCCCTGCGCTGCCCGCACACCTGCCGGGACACCGCGTCCCCTGAGCCGCGCCCCGCGGGGCGGGGGCACCCCCGCACGGCCCGGACAGCGCCCACGCACCCCCCGGGCCGGGGCCCGAGGCCGGGCCCCCTCCTCCGAACCCCGCCGGAGGGCGAGCCGCAGCCACGGAGCTCTCGGGGGTCCGCACGGCCCGGGCAGGGCACGGCAGACACAGACACCCACGTAACACACACGCAGAACACACGCCTTGCACCTGCCCGCTACTACCGACCGGGAGCGAACTCCCACCCCGGGAGCACGGGGATCCCGCTGCCAGCCCACAGCCGAGTGACAGCCACTCGCCACACAGATGCGGATAAGCAGAAAAAAGACGGCGAGAGAGAGCAGCCCACTTCCATTACCTTAGCAATCGCGTCGCCGCCGTCCCCTGGCGCCCCTTCTCCTCTCCTCAGAGCCGGGGAAGCGCCCGCAGCATGGCGCGACCTGCGGGCGGGGCCGGCGGTCAGCCCGGGGCTCCTCTGGGCGCCTCTTCCAAAACCCTCCCGCTCTCCCCAGCGCCCCTCCTGCTGCGGCGAGCACAGCGGCCGGGGCGAATCTGCCGCGACCAGAGCGCCGCGGGCTCACCGCGCCCCGCCCGGCCCCTCGC